CCCCGCCGGGCCCCTGCATCTGCTGGAGGGCCGGGCCGGCTCATTCATTCACTCTGCACTGACCGAGCGTCTGCTGTGGGTCAGCGCTGGCCCCGGCGCCCCCGGGAAGGAGAGGCCAGCCCGGACCTGCATGAGGGGACTGCGAGCAAAAGACAAGACCTCACCAAGAAATGTCACACCCGCGCCGGACATCGGGCCTCGGCCCGCGGCCAGGAGGCTCCGCCGGCCCCAGGACCGCCGGGCGCCGCTGGGCCCCACCGCCCCGGGCACGCCCCGCACCTACCTCCGCCAGGACCCTCGCCCGTCAATCAGCACCGCCCGCGATCAACCGCTACACGGCTACGACCCTCCCGCCGCGACTCCCGCCCAGCCCTGGGTCAGCGCGCCGCTTCCTCCAGCCCCGCCCACGCGCAGACGATTGGCTGTCCCGATGACCGCTAACACAGCGTCTTCGTCCTATTGGCTGAAAGAGTTGCCAATCATCTTACCCCTGCATCTCCTTCGCCGGCACTGGACAGTGGCTCCCACCCACTGAGTAGCGGGCGCAGTCACAATGAGGCTCCGGCCAGAAACATAGTCTCAGAGGAATGGTTCCTAGACGATTTGGCTTCCAGAGCTGTCCAAAGGCTACTGGTGCTGAATTCTGCTGGGATTTGCCATCAGTTGATGACTGTCCCTGTCCAAACGTCCTCACTGCTGATGCCCTACCCATCCACTTAGAGAGGAGGTTTATTGATCAACAAATCTCTGGAATAATTCCTCCGGTCCAGAACTTTCCCCAGGTGAACAAAACAAAGTTCTCTCTCTGTTTAAAAAAATAATGAACAAGAGGTGATGAATCAGATGAAGGAGCACAGTCGAGCAAAAAGCAAGACAACTTTTATGCTGTCAGGACAGGGAAGGGTTCAGAGCTGCTGTATATAGGATTGCTATGCATCGCAGTTGCCTCAACCAATAACATGCTATGACAGGTTTGGAAGCAGGAGTGGCATCCACTTCCTAAACAACTTGCCTCCAGAAACTCAATGAATTTTGATAAATGTTAATAGTTGTAGAGGGGCTTCAGGCCTTTTGTTCATTGGGTTCCTATGAGTCATTCTCTACTCAAAGGCAATCACAAACAGCATATATATATATTATATTATTATATTCCAATGGACAGCATTATGCTAGATTGTGAAGAGACTGAGATTGTTAACAGCTTTAGTCTGCTTGGCTCCACAATCAACATTCTTGGTACGAGCAGCCAGGAAATCAAAAGATGAATTGCACTTGGAAAATATGCTGTCAGGGACCTCTCCGGCGTACTGAAGATCAATTATGTCAGTCTGGAAACTAAAGTGCACCTTTAGTCCAGGCCATAATCTTTGCAATTTCTTGTTATGCATCAGAGAGCTGGACAATGACTAAGGGTGATATCGAATATACCATGGACTGCCAGCAGAATAAACAGGTTCATCCTGGAGAGGGTGAATCCTTGGAGCAAGGATTCTGAGGCTTCATTTGACATACTTTGGGCATGTTGCAAGATGGGGCCAGTCCTTGGAGAGGGACATCATTTTTGGATGGGTGGAGGGACAGAGAAAGAGAGGAACAACATCGATGAGATGGATTGATTTAGTTACTGGAGTAATGAAAGTAAGGGTGGCAGAGACAGTAAAGTTGGCACAGGATAGAGCAGGTTTCAGGGATATTGTACATAGGGTTGCTATGAGTCACACATAACAACTATACAACTACACTTATGTATATTTGATGCAGGTAACATACACTCTGATTAAATTATCTTTCAACTGATTGGCTTCTCATAGTAGATCATCGAAGTGATTGTGTCATATAGGTCTCATCAAGGAATCTCCTCCAGGGTAATTTCCTGCCTCCAAAAACCTGCTGGAAGGTCAGATATGAGTGGGTTCTGACTCAACAGCACACACCACAAACAGCACCAATATCAAAGAATGACTACTTCCTGTTGCCACCCATAGATCACAATGTCTTCTCAAAGAGGACATGCATGGACAGTCATATTTGGACAAAGACAGCATGTGAAGACATGACTACAGCCAAGTGACACCATGAAACACTTAGGAGACAAACCTGACAAGATCTAGGGATAGTCTTCTCCTAGGTAGGGTCTACTCCTGCCTAAGCCCTGAATTTGGACTTTAGCCTTCAGATGT